CTCGTTTCCACAAACTTTGTATGTCACTGTGGATAGTAGAAACGAAAACCTTTTGACTTTTCTTTGTAGCCAATGAAATGGCAACTTACTATTTTGGGATCTAATTTTCCAATGTTTGGGTTAAATACTTTAGCCTCAGCAGGGCTCCCCCACACACTCAAGTGTTTAGTGAGGGTACTCTTTCTGTCCACAACTCATACGGTGTTTTGGGCACCGACTTTCTTGATACTTTATTGAGAATATGAATGGCCGTTTTCAACGCCTCCATTCATAGGCTTAACTGTAAGGTGGAGTAACTTATCATACTGCCCACCATATCCATCAGGGTACGATTGATTCTTTTAGCTACTTTATTCTGCTGAGGTTTGCCCGGTATAGAATACTGGGCTACTATGCCATTCTTTTAGGGTATGCTGACCGTAGTACTCCTCCACGGTCAGACCTGACTATCTTAATCTTTAATATCTTAAATTTATTTAATACATCTTTTCTTTCTTTGATTGGATAAATATAGCCATAATGGGAGTACTCATATGTGAATGTTATGAACGAATCATTACCATCCACACTCTTTACAGGAAAACTGATCACAGATGTCTGTGTGAATAATCTATAAAACTCCTGCACTTCATTTGGCATCTTTCTTAATCTTCTTTACATACTTTTCTTTTATGCATTCTCTGCATTGTTCTAAATCTGAGAGCTCTAATGGAGAAAGAATATCATTCTTAACTTGTCTTTCTATTCTCCCCCTCGAAATATGGCCTAAACGACAGTGCCATAATTTCGATAACGCATCGTGAGCTCTCTTATGCCACCATTTCCAGAGGAACACTCTGTGACCAACTGCTTTATCAGCTAAGTGGCATATGTCTTTGAAGAGCCAGTGAACTGACTCTTTATTCTATCGAGGTATTCGATGACCGTGTCACATTCTGGGATTGAGCCCACAATTACAGGTTCAATCATGTTCTTTATCACCGCCAAACATTTCTTATTTGCAGTGACCCACTTCCTATGCTCAAAAGCCATAGGATATCTTTTGGGATTCAAAATCCCTTTCTTTAGTTGCCCAAGTGGCATCATTCACTTTTGTCTCCCTCACCGGTGCCACAATCTCAGTGGACCACGGTGAGGTGACTACCCAATCCACCTTAGATAAGATGAAAATCAGGTCAAAACTTTTCTTAACATAAAATAACACCATTTGCATGACTTGATTCCAACGTTGGTCAAAATCAAAACATACAACTATTCTTATACACTAATTCTACATCACCATTGGGCAGAAATAGAATTAATGCATAAATCATTAACTTTCACATCTGTTCTTACACACTAATTCTATATCACCGTTGGGCAGAAATAGAATTAATACATAAATCATTAACTTTTACAACGGTTCTCATACACTAATTTTACATCATTGTTGGGCAGAAGTAGAATTAATGCATAAATCATTAAAATTATCAACTTTTCTTATACACTAATTCTACATCACCGTTGGGCAGAAGTAGAATTAATGCATAAATCATTAAAATTATCAACTTTTCTTATACACTAATTCTACATCACCGTTGGGTAGAAGTAGAATTAATGCATAAATCATTATAATTATGATATTGTTATTAACAACGTTGGTCAGAAAATAACAACATCATAATCATATCAAAACTCTTTTTCTCCAATTAAATACCACATTGGTTCAAAATAACTGGAGAATCAACATTTTCTTTAGCAGCGGAAAAAAATCTCTTTTTCTCCAATTAAATATCACATCGATTCAAAATAACTGGAGAATAAACAACTTCTTTAGCAACGGAAAAATTTTCACTCAATTTCTTGAATTTTACACACAGGGAAAAATTACTTTTTCTATTTTTCTTTTGAGCTATTTTTCATTTTCCAGAAATTAGCAATTACTAGAAAAGAAAAAATCAAAAACTGATTTGGATTCTTTCACTGTTTTTGGCCCAAGCAAAGCCATGCCCACGCCTGACCCACCGCATGTGTATGTTGTCTCATGGCGCTCCCCGCCAGCCGCAACACGGCCTAGGGCTGGATTCGACCTCGCGTCGCTTTCGCCCACTGGGCGCATGACCCAGCGATCTGGCGCCGTTGAATCCAATCGGACGGCCGAGCGGGCGTTTCGGTCGGTCAAAACCCCAGCGCCGCTCGGCTCCCCACAACCCTAGCGCCATTCGCCCCCTGCCTTTCTCTCTCTTCTTTCTCTCTTCGCCGCTTTCCTCTCCTCTCTCAGCCGTAGCGATGAAACCAAGCGAGAGCGAGCAAAGGCGAATGAGTGGAGCAATGAGCCCCGCGTCGCCGTCGCAGACCCTCACGGCGCGCGCGTTTCCCAATGGGTGAGCGTCATTGCCGTCAGCGATTGGCCAGCAGCGGCGCCTCTGTGTCGGATCCCGCGAGCAGTGCCCCGGCCCGCCCTTTCTTTTTTCTCAGGCGGCGGCGTGCCTGACGGCGAGGTAAGCCACCCCCTTCCCCTCTTCCCCTTTCGGTTTCTTTGGTTCTTGTGCTCGGATTTCATCCGATTTGGGGATTAGGGTTAGGGTTTAGGGATGGGGTTTCACTGTTTTCTTTTTCCCTTGTTCCCCAATCAGATTTAGATCTTGTTTGCTTTTCTTTGTTTGACCGATTGGGTGGGTTAGGGTTTCATTTTCTTTTGATTTCTTTTCCTTTTTGGAGTTCATCCGAATGGGTTCCTTCCCATCCGAAACGGTTCCTTTCCCCTTCTCCCTTTCTCCTTTCCCATCCCCTTCTTTTCGATTTGGACTGTGTTCTTCTCTTTTCCGAACCAGCGGATGGGAATAGGGTTTAGATCTAGGGTTAGGTTTCGGTTTTCTTTTGATTTCTTTTCTTTTCTTATTTGTACCGAATCCCTCTTTTCCCCTTCCTTTACTTCTTCTCTGATCCGAACACGGATCTGTTCTTTCTTGCCGCGTCAGTGCGGCACTTTTCCCGCGCGGTGGCGGTGGTGACCGGGGTTCTAGTGACCTCCGCCACCCCTGGTCCCTTTTCCGTTTCTTTTACCCGATTAGGGTTAGAGTCACACAGAGGCAGCCTGTCTCTGGTACCAATGTTAGAATCGACGTGTGTGTACCTTTGCGTAACCCGTAGATTGGGGTAGGCTCCTCGCCTTTCTCTGTTGCGGCTTCTCGGCAAGCATGAACGCCGGTGCCGCAGTGTAGTAGATGTCGTAGTGGCGAGGAGGTGATGTCTAGTGGCGCCGGCGGAGAACCTGCAGGGGCGACGGCGGTGGTGGGGCACATCCCGGCGCTTCCAGCACTACTTTAGATCGGTTTTAGGGTTTCTCTGTTGAGTGGGTGGCGGCTCCGATGAACCTCGTAGTCCGAGCCCTCATCCCCACCTTCCTTTTATGTGTGCTGTGCGACAGGGGCCCACCAACCGAATTAGGGTTGGGCTCCCCCGATCAAGGAGCAGAGATAAGGGCCCAATAGACCTATTGGTGGAGATCAACTAACATATTTTCGTCATCTTGGCTTTGCTTGCGATACATAATTCTCCATTTTCGTCATCTTGGTTTTGCTTGCTCCGATGGATATGCTTGCCGGCCTAAAAAGAATGTGAAGTGTCACATCCTAACCGTCACACAGGCACATAGCTTCCTACCTGCTTGGTGTGGCCATTGGCCTGTAGGCGTAAGCGACAGGTAAAAATGAGTCGTGCACGTTCCAAGTCAGTGGTTGCTCGGTTCAATTCAGCTGCCTCTGCATTACACACCTACAGCATGTTCGTTTGCTCATATCTGGTTTATAAGCTATGGCTTATAAGTCAACGAACAATATTTTTCTCTCACACCAAACCAACCAATAGTACTTTTAGTCATGGCTTATAAGCTAAACCAGCCCAAACGAACAGGGCGCTGAACGCCCGTGGCATGGGCGGAGTGTTTTTTTTTAAGGAAGGAACTGGGCAGAGTGGTTTATCTGACGAACGTTAAACGACACTTCTTCAGTTCTGAGCAATGCAACCAAACCCTGGGCTGGTTGGTTCCGTCGTACTAACTCCCCCTCTGGCAGTGTGGGACCTGTCCTTCTTGCGTGTTTCTCTCCCAACCGTTTGACAAATCACGCAAGTTTTTCGGAGTAATATTGTATCACCAAAACTAGTTTGCGCAAATAACGCAAGGTTTTCGGTTGGACCTGGTTTTCGTGAGTTTCTTTGTAAACTTGGCATATGGCCCCATTTAACACACACCTGCAGCTTTGAGATCCAGGTTGGACCTATAAATAAACTAAATTAAAGAGCATGAACATTTACACCCAGTCCAAACTATATATATACAAAACGAATCATCTAAATGCTCTCAACATACCTCGCGCTCCAGAATCCAAGATTTATAAGAGCAATATAGCTAGCTCTAAGGATTCTAAGAGAGCTCGAGGTTTTTTTCCCCAAATGGAACCGTTTATATATATGTTATCAGTTAAAAGACACAGTCCTGAGTTTAAAACTTGGCTAGAGATATTGCCAATTTGTAATGCGCATATGCCATCATTGCATTGGGAGCTTATAATTTCAATAAAAAAATGTATGTTTAACTGATGCATGAAATTCAATAGCAAAATCCATTTTTCTTCCATGGAGCAAAATCCATGTGTTAACTGTAGCAGAAGAGAATCCCACCAAACCTGCAGGACCAGCATAAGTGCATAAACAATAACATGGACAACAGGGTACTGAAATAATGTACACACCAGAACTTTTCGATTGGTCAAGGAAATAAATAAAATAGCATTATACACGTAGTAAATTTTGCATATAAAATAAGGTGCTACATTGTAAATGTGCAGTCTAATTAGTTTACCTAACCCCATCCCTTTAAATACTGATATCATATCATGGCGCCTTATTACAAAACCTGAAGTAAGTGAAGAACAAGACCTAGCTACTAGGGGTACTTCATCGTTCCTCCATCCTCACTCTCTGAAGTCACTAGCCAACACGCATATCACGCAGGCAACATGGTGAAATTAGAAGACACCAAAGAGCACGACGATGGCCGCGACGTGACCGTCACGGTGGCGCCGGCGCTGCCGGTGCAGGAACACCGCCTGCCGCTGTCCAACCTGGACCTCCTCCTGCCGCCGCTGGACGTCAGTCTCTTCTTCTGCTACCTCCACCCGGCGCCCACCGCGGCCGCTCTCAAGGAGGCGATGGCCAAGACGCTGGTGGCATACTACCCGTTGGCCGGGGAGGTGGTGGCCAACGGCGACAGAGAGCCGGAGCTGCTCTGCAGCGGCCGCGGCGTGGACTTCACAGAGACGACCGCGGCCGGCGGCGCCGAGCTGCGGCAGATCCGTCTGGGCGCCGTGGACGAGGGCGTTGAGAAACTGGTGCCTGCCAAGAAGGCCGGCGTGATGGCGGTCAAGGTATGTATGATGATCGACGACCTGGTGGTTAAGCTGCGTGTACGTAAAGAATGTTGCTTTCCCATAAAACGCGTTTCTCGTATGATGCGTTCATTTGCATTGCATAAAATTTGTCTTGATGACGACCGTGTTGTTGCATGGCGCATGACATGCACGCAACGCCCGCAGCTGACCAAGTTCAGGTGCGGCGGCGCCGTCGTCGGGTGCACCTTCGACCACCGCGTCTGCGACGCCTACTCCTTCAACATGTTCCTCGTCGCGTGGGCCGCAACCGCCCGTGACAGCTCTGCGCTGCCACCGGCCCCGTCGTTCCGCCGGTCCCTCGTCGCCCCACGCGACCCACCACAGCAGCGCGCGCCGTCCACCGACGCCCTCATCGACCGCCTGTTCTCTCCTCGCAGCGCCGCGCCGCCACCACCGCCACCCGCCGCCACAGGCCGCTCCGTCAACCGGATCTACCGCATAGCCGCCGCGGACATCGCCGCGCTGAAGGCTTCGGCGGGGCCGGGGCACACGAAGCTGGAGGCGTTCACGGCGCACCTGTGGCAGCTCTGCGCCAGGGCGGCGGCGACCTCCGCGCACCAGATCAGCCAGTGCTGCATGGGCGTGGTCGTGGACGGGCGCACCCGCATGTTCCCGGACGGCGCCATGAAGGCCTACTTCGGCAACGTGCTCACCATCCCGTACGGCGTCATCGGCTCCGAGGACCTCCGTCGCATGGCGCTCGCCGACGTGGCGGGCAACGTGCACCGGTGGGTGGTGGAGGCCGCCACCGGCGACCATTTCCGGGGCCTCGTGGACTGGGTGGAGGCACTGCGGCCTAAGCCGGCCGCGGCGAGGGCGTACCTGGGAGGAACCGGCGGGAACGAGGCGATGTCGTGCATTGTGTCGTCCGGTATGACCTTCCCGGTGGGAAAGGCCGACTTCGGGACGGGCCTTCCCGCGTTCGCGTCGTACCACTTCCCGTGGCCCGCCGGCGCCGGGTACGTGATGCCGATGCCGAGCGCGCGCGGGGACGGCGACTGGGTGGTGTACGTGCACGTGGCGCCGGAGGTGGCGAAGGTGATGGAGGAGGAGTCCACCGTGTTCCAAGTCCTCGAGAACAGCTACGTGTTTGAGTGATTGACGTATCGTCGTGCATGCGCATGGTAAGTGTTGTGTACTAGCTAGTACTTGTGAAGCTAATGTATGTCATGGATGCCCACCGTGTCTAGAGTTGATTGGTATGGAGTACTCGCTACTCGCTACTCAGTAGTGCTACCAATTTGTCCAGTTGGTAGCTATATATGTTTCGATCAGAGAAAATAATAGCACTCCATGTCACGTGACATATGTGTAACAAATGTTACTTACTAAGGCCTGTTGTGCCTAGTTAGTGCCATCTTTTGGACATTATGTTCAACTCAAATAGTATGCATTGAGTTGAAATTGGCGTATAACTCAATTAGTGAGTAGGAGTATATATGATTGGAAACTTGTTTTGTTTTATGAGGAGAGGGGGGCGAATAGTCCACTAGTACAAAAACAATTATTATAGGCAGCACTGTTTCGATTTGTACTAATATTTTTTCAAACACCAATGTGAAATACCAATAAAAATGGTGGTGTTTTCGTTAGCATTATTTGAGAACCGCATGTGTAAATATTTACACTGGTGGTTTTCTTAAAACCACTGCCAGTATAAATCGATCTACTGACACTATACTTACACAAACTACTAGTGTAAAATATTTTTCACGCATTTGCAAATCAGGCAAGGAATAGCAAAAAAAACGTGAGAGGCCCACCAACTAGCCCCCAAAGTTCATGCCTCACAAGTCACCACACGAAATACACACGTGTGTGGCTGACGAAGATCAAACCCACAACCTTAATCATAACGCATTCCTTCCTTAACCACTACGGCTCTGTTCGCTTCGCTGAAAAACCATGGCTGAAAGTATTGTTTACTGATTTGTTGTGAGAGAAAAATATTGTTCCTTTACTGAAACAGTACGGCTCATAAGACAAGCAAACAGAGCCTACGCCCGCCTCAAAGTCAATTGTGATTGAGTAACAACTACATTTCTTTTGTATTCACTTTAGTAAATATTGTAATCCATATTTCCTAAACGAATTTAAATAAAAAGTTTTAGATATCTTCAAGTGCTACAACTTTGGTTTAGATAATTTTTCTATTCAAGGTAATTTGGAAATTCAAAAAAAATATGAATTTCAAAATCATTAATCTTAAAATATAATTTCGAGTCTCTAAATGATTTCATATGAAAAAAGTAGTCAACTACAAAGTTATAGATCTTTTTTAGTACCAAAACTTTCATTTAGATCATTTCTTCATTCGAGATCATATAAAAAAATAAAAAAATGTTTTTAAATTATTCGTCCTGACACTATGTTAAGAAAACCGTCCATGTAAATACATCTTTACCGATGAATTTCTTATGTCTAACGACATCGTTCATGTATATCCTGCAAAATGAACCAATCTTGAGATGTCCACCTGGACTCCCGAATCCGATGGGCCGTTCAATCCGAATCAAGTCGGCCGCCAGCTCCGGGGCTTTCTGTGGGCTGGAGACGCCATGTCGCGTCTGGTGCTCAGGCCGACCTGGGGACGCAGAACACTTGCCTTGCCTGCACTGTGATGCCGCATCCTCTTGGGCCTCTGGCCCGCGGTCACGCTTGCATTGCCACAATGGAAGTGGGAGGGGACGTACGTGCACCGTGCACGGCATCACCGCTCACCGGACAGTGCTGTGGCCACTCCTATCCTGCGGTCACCACGGTGGAGATCGTGGATGGCTAGCTAATCTTGGCACCACTGCAGGGATGGCCATTGACCAGACAGACCGTCAGGTTCAGACCTCAGAGTCAGAGGACACAAGAGTGGAGTAGTTGCCCGCAGAAGCGCATGAACTAGGTGGGGGATATTGAACTGAACTTTCAGTTAAGCGGCCAAGTATTAGCAAGTATCAATAGTAGAAGTTTCAGTGCTAACGTAAGAAACACCTGGGACACGAATTTCACAAGAATCGTTTAGTAATTTCACGGGAATTAGTTCATCTTCATAAGAAAAACGCAGGATATAGGGGGAAAAAATCCTTCATTCCAAAGGTGACCTGAACTACTAATATGTTTCATTGAAATCAGATGCATCTACCCTACGAAATGCGAGCCATGAAAACTAAATTAACCAAATTACATATCAACAAGTTCCTTTGCCACCATTTGGTCCATTACCATCACAAGCACACAAGCACTAAGGTCCTGACTGACTCCCCCAAGTCCCGGTCAACGGATGCACAGTCTACGCTAGTGTATATATGCACAGGCGAATGGGCACCCTGCACACACTCACCAACCAGCTCTCAAGTCTTCACTGTCCTAATTAGTTCCAGACCTGTCCACAACTACGATAGGTACAGCAGATTCTATCAGGAAAAAAAATCGGCAAAGGCAGATGATTACAGACACAAATTGTCCCAACCGCTATCATGAGAGAAGATCGGAGATCAGTGCCGTGGAGAGGGGGTAACTCAGCAGCGGAAACGGATGACAATGCAAGAGATATCGTCCTTGCTCTTCCTTGCCAACGCTTCAGTAGTCAATTGCTTCGCTGCTGCCTGGGGATCCTTGATTGACTTTACGAGATCGACTGCTTCTTGGTTCTTCATTACCTGTATTTAGAAAGGAAATACAGAGTACATTAAACTGGTGTACGAACATACTTTTCAAAGAAACATCTCAAACATAGACGAATCACCCAAGAGCTCATCTTAATTTTTTTCATAAGGTATGTTTTTTTGGAGACCATGGTGATTTGGTAGTGTCCAACCACTTCTTGCCTGCTTATTGCAGGGAGAGAACATGTCGCAGATAATGCAAGAATTGGTCAAAAGTGATCTAAGTCAACGCATTTCAATCTAGGCCCAGGGAAGTACAGGATTAAATAGAAACCAAAGTGCAGACCCTTTTTTTCATAAGCATGAGAACAAACAAGATTAATGAAGGAAACAGCTGGCGCAAACCTTCCACAATCCATCACTGGCAAGTATGACGAACTCTATATTTGAGTTTATTGGTACATGTCTAATGTCAGGTTCACAGCTCAAGTGGGCCTTGAGGCTTTGGTCACCAAATGCCCTAGCAACAGCAAGCTGGCCATTCACCCGAGGAACATCACCTGCAAACAAACCATGAAACATAATAAGGTAATTGCATCTTATTATCAATGATGAAACGATAACACAACTGCATTCAAAAAAAGAAACGATAACACAACAAAAATTGTACCAGGAAATGTCGTTACAAAACCACCGTGCTTTTCAATCCTCTGTCTTTCATTAGTTGTATGAGGCTCGTGGTCAACAGTGAGCAGATTAGCAGCGCCTCTTTCACACACAACAGCTCGAGAGTCACCTACATTTGCTATCCACATATCCTTACCATCAACTACAATAGCAGTAACTGCTGTTGAGCCACCTGGTCCAAGTTGTTTGGTATTTTCTAGAATATATTTGTTTGTAGAGCAGTATGCATTCTTTATTGCTTCTTGAGGACTAGACCAGAAGAGAGGCTGCAGTAACCAGAATAGGGAAACAGTAAGGAAGGTATGCGAACGGTAAGGCTAAAAAGGATTTCTTGGTCTCCAACACAGAATAGAAAGCCAAAAGTAACACTTACCTCTTTCATTATGTTGCTAAAAAGGTTAGCTTTCAGGTAACTTGGCACCTTATCTCCTAAATGGCCATCAAAAATGGCAAAGAGACCAAGCTCATGGTTCTTCACATACTTGTACTCTGCCACATGGTAGTCTTCCATGTCATGGCCGGATTTGCCTTCCACCAGGTGGAATCCATGTGTAACTTTGTTGGTTGACAATTTACTCCTTCCCTTGCCGGTATCAGTAGATGACGAATTAAGACAGGCTGCATTCTGTATACCATGCAAAAGAACCAAATATAGTGTCAGCATATTCTGCCTGCAAGTGTTCTACACACATCGACAAAAGAGTGATTCTAGCAGCAAGTGTTCTACACACATCGACAAAAGACTGATTCTGGGAGCAGGTGTGCTACACACATTGACTAACTGACTCTGGCAGCAAGTGTTCTATACACAGTGAGTATGATTCAGGCAGCAAGTGTTCGACAAACATTGACAAAAAAAGGCTCATAGGGCCTGTTTGGATTGGACCCTGGAAAGGCAGCAATCCCAGGCGTCCATTTTTGGTGGCCTGGGGTTGGATGGTGTTGCCTGGCCACCAACCAAACAGGTCCATGACAGAATAGAGAATACACAAATGTTCCTAAAGTCAAATAAAAAGTATTGCTTAAACAAGCAAGCCTGCCAATACAGCTAGCTGCAGAAATGTTGCAAAAGAACAGCTATGCTATTCAGAGACACTATAGGAATGTAAAACTGTATTAATAATCATTCATGAAGAAATTAATAAGCATATCACCCAACTAAGATCGGGGTGGAGAGCCCAAGGCCAAGAACAAGGAACTGAAATTGCAATGCAGTAACGGTTTGGCTTAATAGGTCAGCAACAGGTAGCTGGCTACGAGTTGCACTCTTCTTTGTTTAGTATCCAAAAACCTAGTAGACAACGCAGATGGGTGCATCCTGAGTATCATGCTGACGGATATCTTCCCTGCTTCAGCTTGAGATATCCGCAACAATTTCAGGAGACACAGCTTTATCGGAAAACCGCTACAGTGCATTTTGCCAAATTTTCCATGTCTCAACTGGTGATGCATCTGATTGCTGACATCAGCTTGAGATATGGTGCTTTATCGGTGGTCCATGTCTCAACTGGTGATGCTTCTGATTAGACATGTGGTACAAGTGTCGAGCAATGCAAGTTGCTGATACTTGCACGCCATTTGCCGCTAAAAAGGGAAAAATGAAATCCACAGGATTTCATCTGTATCAAGTGGCAGCTTTTCCGAGGCAAGAAGATGAGTAATAAACAAAGCAATTTACTTCATGACATGAATACATGATACAGCTCCTCCTACTCGTCTGCTTCTGATGATATATCATCGCTAGAACAGGCGACAGGCAGGTGGAGCTCAGGATTTGCAACGAGGGGTCCCGGTGCGGCTGCGCCTGTGCATCAGGCTACTTCTACTAGGGCCTTGTTTACATCGTAAATTTTTACAACATGAACATCGTAGCAGGTTTTATTTGTATTTGTTCAAATATGTTATTAATTTTTTTGTCCTTCAAATGATTATGAACTATTTTCATTTAATTCCACAAAAAAAATTGATCTGATAATTAATATATCTTAGAAAAAATCCAAATTATAAAAATAATTAGTTACTTTTTTTTTTCGTTAAGATGCTCATGCATAATAACATATTTCAAAAATTAATATCACGTAGCTTGAGAGAAAGTGAAAAAACTGGACGTGAAAACCAAAGGCAATCTAAACGAGGAAAAGTGTCCTACTTCTACTAGGAGACGCAGACTCGCAGAGCAAGGCTCCAAAAGGCAGGTTGATTACGGCTGGCGTGACATGCCTAGCCTAGGCCGCATGCGTACCCAGTCAAAAAGGAGCCCTTGTTGCAGAAGTCCGACTTTGCTTTCGCGGCCCCAAACCTGAAATCTTGTGACTCCAACTAGCAAGTTGCACCCTTTTAAGTTTAAATCAGTTAGTTAATTTCCTCACTGGTAGAAAGAATAAACCATCAAAATGATATCTTTTTTTTCTTCCCAATCGTGATAGTTTCCCTTGCACCAGAAACTACCGTGATGTGTCGTCTGCAGAGCACCTAATCGATTCTTTCTGGACGATTTTGTTATGCACAGAAGAGTAACACGGACGCTTCGATTGACCAAAATTTCTTTTGCAGGATCAACATCAGGACGACGTAAACAAAGCACGACGCGTGAAAAAAAATAAAACTATATTTGTTTATCCAGACAAGCGGAGAAGAGCGGAGAACGGGAGCAAGCGAGGTGAGTAAATTCAGGCGTACCCGGATCATGTTGAGGATATCAGGGCGCTTCTTGCCGCCGCAGGCCGAGGAGGAAGAAGCGGCGGCGGAGGAGGGATAGCATGACGCTGACGACGACGCGGTCTGCCGCTCCATCCGGCCGACCATGTCAGGGAGAACTCGCCGGCGGGGTTAAGCTGATCGACAATCGCCACCCACAGGCCACAGGCCACAGGGAGTGAGACGGGGGACGGATGGATGGATGAAGACAGACCTTGCTCGCGGAAACGGGAGTCGGGACACAGCGCACGGGGGGAAGAGAGCGAGAGATCTTTTGCGCTTTTATGCAAGGCCTCGGCTGCCGCCGCGTCTCGGTCTCGCGTGTGACGGAGGGTGGGAGGGGAGCCAGGCCTCCTCTCGTCTCTCTCGTCCCCGGTTGCTTGCTCTTTGATCCGATTCTGAGGCCGGACACTTGTGGTGTGGCTGTGGCCTTGTGGCGTGATGAAGTGGAGAGAGAGGGAGGGAGAGAGAGAGGGGCGGTTGGGTTTTAGAGGGGTTGCTGCTTTTTTAATTGATGATTGTGGAGGAGAGGAGTTTGTGGAAGTGGGTTCCACAGCAGAGGTGTGGGCTGAAACCGTTTTTATTAAAGCGTGGGAAAGTGAAAAAATCAGCAGTCCAAACACGCCCTTAATTGATGATTGTGGAGGAGCCGCGGGAAGTGGGTTCCACAGCGGAGGGAGCGGGGTGGTGGAAATCGGCACGACCGAAGAAACGGGGCCCCACTCGACTCTGCTGCCCCGGCTATATACAAATGCAAATATATAATTTGGGTCGTGTTTGGATGTATTTATTTTAATTTCGCTCCAATTCATTTCAACCCATATAAATTAAAATAAGTGTATGTGCATCTAAACAAAACCTCAGGCGGTTTATTATGCTTGCCTCTAAAAGGCTCTAACTATATAAATCCTTTGTGTCTGGGGAAGAAATGAGAAAGGTTGATACAGATTTTTGAAAAAAAAAATGGTGAGAAGGACAGAGGGACTAGCAATTTATTTGATATTACGTAGAAAGCCATGCATGTACGTCGCCCATACACGATAGCGATGAGTTATTTTCGAAAATATATATTTGAATTAAAAAATTCAAGGATTTATTTGACTGCACTTTAATCCACTACATTGTACTCAATCTATCCCAAATTGTAAGACGTTTGACTTTTTTGACACCAAGTTTGACCACTCGTCTTATTCAAAAATTTGTGTAAAATATCACTTCTTTCGTCGTGGTTTGGTTTATTAATAAAAATTCTTTAAGAATGACTTAAATTTGACTATATTTGCACAATTTTTTGAATAAGATGAGTGGTCAAACTTGGGGCCAAAAAAGTCAAACGTCTTACAATTTGAAATAGAGGGAGTACATAGATTGAGAGGAACTAAGATAAAATTTATTTTGGATTAGTGCCCGGTTAAACAGGCTCTAGTATGGAAGGTTTTTACGATGGTACTCCAAAGTAGGTATCAACAAACAACTTATATAAGGTCATTATTTGGTTGTAATCGGTAGCATCAACCGCTTCATAATGGAACTCTAAAAGATAATAAATAATAGATATTGACAAATAGTTTTTGTTAATGTTCGACACTAACACAACGCGGTATGATTTCAATATATATTCGTACAAGATATTCGCAAATGATTGGTAAAATTTGCAATTGACCATATCCAAGTAGGGCTCGAAAGCGTACCAAATGTGTATGTATTTAATTTTATATATCGTATTTCATGTTATGAAAAATATTGTCATACTCTCTCAAGATCAAATAAATAGATTGCCTTGACAAATAAATTAGATTAAAAAAGGTTTACTGCCAAAGACCGGCTTAGTAAGGACGTTAATAAGCATTAATCTTCATTGTACATGATTCGTTACGGTGAGGTGCCTGCTATGCAACTATGCAAGTTAGCATCACATCAATATCTGTGTTTTTTTTTTTTTTTGCGACCATCAATACCCGTGCTTTGTTCTGTTCTGTGTATTTTCGTTTTCATTGTTTCCCTTTTTTTTTCGAGACGACTCATTCTTTGTTGTTCTATCTAGAGTAAAAAGGCACTTTAAGTTAGGCAATGTGACACCACTTAAGTGAGCTCAAAATGCCTATCTTAAAATAAAGCACAAAACAACGTTTGGAAATCGTGGACTGCCTTGCTGCCTTTCTTTATTTCTGATTTCATCTCGGTTATCCTTTTCCTCTCCCGAGCAGCTCGAAGGCTTCCGCGAAGCTTCCTCCGCCATCCCTCCTTGGCAAGTATCACTAGGCGCCTTATAAAAAAAAAAGTATCACTAGGCGCACAAAAGCTGTGTGCACCGGTGGCAGCAGCATAATGGTCTATCATTTCACATGATTTAATAACAATCCTTAATAAAGCAAGAAGAAGCTGTCCATAACTTTCCTGTCTCTTTTCCTTGGCTGCCAGTTTTTCTTTTTTAATATCTATAGAAAACCAGCTCAACAATAGCATGGGTGTGAGCAATCTGTTTGTAAAACAAAGAAAAATGCTTGGAAACGACACATCGCTTTGTCAAGCTATTGCAAGAAAACAGCAGCTGTTATCGTGGGCCTTTTGATCTATTAGCACTAAAAATTAGTAGCTAAAATTAGTAATAGTGGATCCAAACAAGTCTGCTAATAAACCTATAAATTATTAGCTGGAGAGCTGCTAACTATTAGTTACATTAATAAGTCTAAAGTTGCAAATATGTTCTACTAAACTCGGCCTAGAGGGGTCATGACCACCCCCATGGTCTTCTCATGCAAACCGAAAAAATCCTCAAACCCCCACTCCATCCATACACAGGGAGCCGCCACCCGTGAGAAGGGCCGTCTCTTAACCTATGCTTTGGCCTGGGGCGAGCGAGGTGATTTTTTTTACCTTCAGCCTGAAATACGCTCCCATGAAAGTTCAAACTCAAGGACCTAAGAGGTGCCTCCGGAACTGCTAACCAACTGGACTATCATCCTTTGGCCAAATAGGTTCTACTAGTTCATATGTATCTTTAATTCATTATCCAACCACTTATTAGCAGGTCGATTCAAACAGTCTCATGTTAAAATTTAGCTAGCTAAAAATTAGCGGCTATTAGCTACTAGCTAACTAATTTTTAGTGCTAATGAATCCAAACGTGCCTAAAGCCGTGCCATTTCATGCTCTGGCAGATTCAGGCAAGCAGCCACTCGCTAAGCTACAAGAATACGTACTCCAGGACAGCGTGGCGACCATTACGCTGGCGTTATTATCTCCCGTGAGATTTGTTCGGATTCGGTGGAAGGCAAGCGTGGCTGGCTACGGAACGAACGACACATTTTCTTCTTGCTTTGGTGCGTGTAGCAAAATGGGCGGCGCGCGCGTTGGAGCTGTTGCTGGTTGACCTGCTCAGAGTCCTCTGGGATCGTTCGTCGGCTTGCCACCATGTGGGCCGAGCTGTGGTGGATGGTAGCCTGCCGGTCAGAGGCCACCACCCAGTGGCCGGCCGGCCGGCCCTGCCCTGCCTGGTCGGCCGTGGCCTGGGCCCACGTGTGCACGTCCTAGGATCACCGGAACCGGAGACACGAGGCCCGTGGGCTGGGCCCTAGCTGCCGCGGAGCGGGTCAGGTGACACGTGCGCGCGCCGCACGGGAGGGTGTGTAATCGAGTGGACGTCTGAACCGGTCTGCCGCTCGCTCGTGCTGACCTGCCAGTCGTCTCCACGAGTCTGGATCCGGAGCCGCTCCCGGATCGTCTGTGGAGTGAACAAGCTAGGCCGCAACAGCAACCAAGGTACTACAGGCGAGGGACGAGTAAATTCAAAGGGTAAGCTTGACCTGTAGGGCTGTAGATGCATAGATTTCTACCGTGAGGATCCAAATATAGTGAAATTTAGCCATAATTACTTTTCTTTTCTACGCGTGCACCCACTAATCTGAACATAGATCTGCCCCTAGTACACGCGTATAGGAATTGGAAAGCAATCCCGATTACTAGTTTGTACGTACGTAGCACCTTTGACACAAGTGGCAATCCTAGAAAGAAATGATTGTTTCAAAGGAAACTGCAAAAACATTAAGCAGATTGTAAACCCAAATAAACTGCTAGGATATAGAATGACGAGCATTGTTCATATGTTTGACTTTTTTTAATGTTGATGATCATGGTTAATACTTGTTCAGATCTAAATTATAAGTCACTTTGACTTTTTAGTACATAGATTTTGCTATGTATCTAAAGATACTCCATCCGCCCTAAATAATTGTCGTTCTCGCTTATCGAGAAATAAATTTAACTAATTATATATAAAAAAAAATATTAATATTTATGGCACATAATTAATATCATTAGATAGATTGTTATTCTATTTTCATAATAAATTTATTTGGAGATACAAATATTGCATATATTTTCTACAAATCTAGTCAAACTTACGCCACGAAAACCAAAAATAACACTTATCAAGGGACGGGGGGAGTACGTTGTATTTATATATTACCTCTGTCCTCAAAAGAATACAACTATGGAATACGTGCCAGTTAGAGTGCTTCACATTTGACCAAGTTTATAGTAAATAGTATTCACATTTATGACTTTAAATCAATTTATTATGAAAATATATTTTGTAATTAATTTAATGGTGTTTATTTGATATTATAAATATTTATATTTTTTATTTATAATTGATCAAACTTGGTATACTAAAACATGATACTGTTTCAGAATTATATACTTTTGGGGACGGAGGGAGTACATATAGCAAAATTGATGAACAAAAAAGTCAAAATAATTTATATTTTGAAACATGGGAGTAGCAAAAATAATCACTAACCAACCCAATGTACACTCCATTACCGGAAAATGATGGAAGGAGTCGTCGGGGCTTGGGGGTCAGGGTCCGCAACAGTGCCGCAACGGACTGCATCTAAAGGCCTCGTTAAAAGTGCACACTGATTGATGAAAGAGGATCTTCTCATATTTGGAATTGGCGCCGACAGGAACACTGTAGCTACAGTGCCGTTTTGTTTTTATTTGGTAATAATTGTCTAATTATTGACTAATTATGCTTAAAATGTTCGTCTCGCAAAGTACAACCAAACTGTGCAATTAGTTTTTGATTTCGTCAATATTTAGTACTC